GCCTGGGTGAGTCTATTTTGAAGAAGTGATGTTAGAAGAAGTTTAAGTTTTAAAAATTTGGCTTTCGCCAAAACCAGTTTGGCTCAGTGGATAGAGAGTCGGCCTGTGGACTGAAAGGTCCCAGGTTCGATTCTGGTCAAGGGCATGTACCTTGGTTACGGGCGCATCCACAGTAGGGGGTGTGCAAGAGGCAGCTGGTCGATGTTTCTCTCTCATCGATGTTTCTAACTCTCCCTCTCTCTTTCTCTCTGTAAAAAATCAATAAAATATATATTTTTAAAAACTTGGCTCTCGCCAAAACCAATTTGGCCAATATCCCTGATGAACAAAATGCTAAAATCCTTAACAAAATTCTAGCAAATCAGATCCAGCATTACATTAGAAAGCTCATAGACCATAACTAAGTGGGATTTATTCCAGGGATGCTAGGCTGGTACAATATCCCCAATCAATGAACGTGATACATCACATAAACAAATTGAAAGACAGAAATCACATAATCATATCAATTGATGAAGAAAATGAATTTGACAAAATCCAATACCCTTTCCATATTAAAAACTCACAGCAAATTGGGAGTAGAGGGATCATACCTCAACATAATAAAAGCTATATATGACAAACCTACAGCCAACACCATACTCAAAGGGCAAAAACTTAACCCATTTCCCATAAGAACAGGAACAAGACAAGGATGCTCACAATGACCACTCCTGTTTGACATAGTACTAGAAGTACTAGCCATAGCAATCAGACAAGAAGAAGAAATAAAAGGCATTCAAATTGGAAAAGAAGTAGTAAAACTGTCTTTATTCACAGATGACACAATACTATACATAGAAAACCCCAAAAACCCCATAAAAAAACCTACTAGACCTAATAAATGAATTTGGCAATGTAGCAGTATACAGAATTAACACCCAGAAATCAATGGCCAATTTAACACCCAGAAATCAATGGCCTTTTTATATACCAATAATGAACTCACAGAAAGAGAAATTTAAAAAAATTTACAACTGCAACAACAACAAAATTAAGATACCTAAGAATAAATTTAACCAAGGAGGTAAAGAACCTGTACTCAGAAAATTACAGGACACTGTTCATGGATTGGTAGAATCAACATCATTAAAATGTCCATACTACCCAAAGCAATCTATATATTCAATGCAATCCCCATTAAAATACCAACAGCGTATTTCAAAGACCTAGAACAAACTCTCCAAAAATTCATCTGGAAAAAAAAAAAAAAGACCCTGAAAAACTGCAGAAATTTTGAGAAAGAGGAACAATGTTGGAGGAGTCACAATACCAGATATTAAGCTATACTATAATGCCACTGTTCTCAAAACTGCCTGGTACTGGCACAAGAATAGACCTATAGACCAATGGAGAAGAACAGAGAACCCAGAAATTGACCCAAGCCACTATGCTCAATATTTGACAAAGGAGGCAAGAGCATACAATGGAGTGAAGACAGTCTCTTTAATAAATGGTGCTGGGAAAATTGGACAGATCCATGCAAAAAAATGAAACTAGATGACCAACTTATACCAAACACAAAAATAAACTCAAAATAGATAAAGGACTTAAACATAAGACGAGAAATTATAAAAAATTTAGAAGAATCCATAGGCAGCAAAATAGACATATGTTGTAGCAATATCTTTACAAATACAGTTCCTAGGGCAATGGAAACTAAGGAGAAAATAAATAAATGAGATTACATAAAAATATTCTGATTAGCAAAAGAAACCATCAACAAAACAATTAAGAAAGCCCAATGCATGGGAGAACATATTTGCCAATGTTATATCCGATAAGGATTTAATCTCCAAAATTTATAGGGAACTCATACAACATAACAAAAGGAAGATAAACAATCAAATCTAATAATGGGCAAAGGACCTAAATAGACACTTTTCGAAAGAGGACATACAGAAGGTCAAGAGACAGGAAAACATGCTTTAAGTCACTAATCATCCAAGAGCTACAAATCAAAACGACAATGAGGTACCACCTCACACCTGTCAGAATGGCTATCAATAAATCAACAAATGACAAGTGCTGGCAAGGATGCAGAGAAAAGAACCCTCATTCACTGCTGGTGGGAATACAGACTGGTGCAGCCACTGTGGAGAACAGTATGGAGTTTCCTCAAAATATTAAAAATGGAATTTTCATTTGACCCAGTAATCTCACTTCTAGAAATATATCCCAAGAAATCAGAAACACCAGTCAGAAAGGATATTTGCACTTCTATGTTCATAGCAGCACAATTCACCATAGCTAAGATTTGGAAACAGCCAAAGTGCCCATCAGCAGATGAATGGATTAGAACAGCAGTTGCCAACTTTTTGGACCTCAAGGACCACCAGTGGTCCTCAGACCACTGGTTGGAAACTGCTGGATTAGAATACTGTGATACATCTACGCAATGGAATACTACGCTGCTGTAAAAAAGAAGGAATTCTTACCATTTTAAACAGCATGGATGGAACAGGAGAGCATTATGCTAAGCTAAATAAGCCAGTCAGAGAAAGATAAACATCACTTGATCTCACTCATTTGTGGAATATAATGAACATCATAAACTGATGAACAAAAATAGATACAGAGACAAAGAAGCATCGAACAGACTGTCACACTTCAATAGGAAGGCATGGGAGGGTTGGGGGGGTAAGAGATCAACCAAATGATTTGTATGCGTACATATAAGCATAATGAATGGACACAGACACTAGGAGGGTGAGGGCATGTGCTGGAGGGTCGGGGAGGCCAGGGAGAGGTGAATAGGAGAAAAAGGAGACATTTACTTTACTATTTGTAATACCCTGTTTCCCCAAAAATAAGACAGTCTTATATTAATTTTTTTCTCCCAAAGTTGCTCTAGGTCTTATTTTCAGGGGATGACTTATCTTTCCATGTGCTAGGTCTTATTTTTGGGGAAACACGGTACTTTAAACAATAAAATAAAGACTAAATAAATAAAAAATTTAAAAAAGAATCTAGAGTGGACCATTTCTGTGACCTACTGTGGGGCTCTCCTGTAGTAGGACTGGGCTGGGACTGCCCCGAACACAAGAAGGGGTAGTGTCCTCTACTGCCATAAGTAGCATTCTAATACTGGAAGCCCTTTGAACATCTTATAGCAGCATACAGAGTGTTTTGTTTTCCTTGTTGGACTCACTGACTGTTCAGTAGGCCGTCATTCTCTTGGGCTCCTCTGTGTGGGTACTTAGCACTTGGAAGTTTTGTGTTTTTTTTAAAATATATTTTATTGATTTTGTACAGAGAGAAAGGGAGAGAGTCAGAAACATCGATGAGAGAGAGTCATCGATCAGCTGCCTCCTGCACACCCCCTACTGGGGATATGCCCGCAACCAAGGTACATGCTTTTGACCGGAATCGAACCCGGGACCCTTCAGTCCCCAAGCCAACGCTCCATCCATTGAGCCAAACCGGTCTCGGCACTTGGAATTTTGACAAACCAGCAGCAGAAAGGAAAACTTCATGAGGTTTATGATTACAGCTCTGGACATCTTTGAGCTGTCAGCACCTTTAAAGCTTTCAGTGACTTAACTTGGGTATTCTTTTTAATAGAAATATGAACTGCCGTATAACAATTGAGTAGTGTCCCGGTGTCTGCAGCAAAATGATATTTCAGTGATCTTTTCTTCATTGCAGCTATACTGGCCTCAAAAATGGACAAATTTAAAATTGTGTAGTAAGTACTAGAGTAAATGCATAGCTGTATAGCTGTACACCTTTGTGTCTGCTCAGGTACTGGCAGAAGTGTCTTTTTTTTTTTTTTAATGTCATTGATTGATTTTAGAGAGAGAGAAACATCCATTTGTTGTTCCACTTTATGTATTCATTGATTGATTCTTGTATGTGCTCTGAGCAGGGATTGAACTCCCTAATTTGGCAAATCTGGACTATGCTCTAACCCAGTGGTCGGCAAACTCATTAGTCAACAGAGCCAAATATCAACAGTACAGTGATTGAAATTCCTTTTTAGAGCCAAATTTTTTACACTTAAACTTCTTCTAACTCCACTTCTTCAAAATAGACTCGCCCAGGCCGTGGTATTTTGTGGAAGAGCCACCCCCCAGGGGCCAAAGAGCCACATGTGGCTTCTGAGTCTCGGTTTGCCGACCACTACTCTAACCAACTGAGCTACCCAGCCAGGGCAGGCACATCTTTCTTAGAAACTTACTTCTTGATGGGAGAAGGTTTGACTTTGGGTGGTAGGCATACATGCAATACACAGGTAGAAACCCATGCCTGAAATTTGTATGATCAATGTCACCCCAATAAGTTTAATTTAAAAGGGGGGAGGGGAAGCCATTTATTGTATCGTTGTTGTGTTTCTGTCCCAAACTTAGTCATGTGAGTTAAAAGTACAGCTCATGTTTGCCCTGTGGTTTTCTCTTTGTTGCTTTGATTCATCTCAATTTACCTTCTCATCATCTACTTTTCTCTTTTACGAGTCCTTCAGAGTTTTATCTTCTTCCCAGTTCTTGTTGTTTTTATTATTTTTTTACTGTTTGTGCGAATCAGTGTCCATTCTTTCCTCGTGGTTTTTCATTCTCAGTTTTGTCCGTTTTGTTCTCTTTGTGCCTGTAGTTACCCTTTCCTTCAGATCAGCCAGTCAGAAAATGTCATTTGTATTCTGTGTGAAATCTTACATCCCAGTTCAAAGAACAGAGCAGAGTCCTACAGGCTGTCTGCTCTGTTTGCTTGGGTTTGAGAGAGCAAAGGACAGGTTGGAGTGGGTTTGGCTGTCACCTGCTTCCCGAGGGGCTTCTGACGGAAGATCTGACAGTTGAGTCCTGCGCTGGCCTCCCTCCTCAAAGCAGCACCCCATACAGGCTCACGGTGGCCAGGGGAGAAGGGAGACCTGCAGCACGCTCTAGACACACAGGTCACCTCCTCGATGGCTCGCACGAAGTCTTCACAGACAACTCAGTGATTATACCTTTGTTTCTTCCTATTAGACACCGGAGCCAGAACCAGAACCGCCCAGGGCCCCTGAGCTCAAGCAGGGACTGTATGAGCTCTCTGCAAACAACTTTGAGCAGCACGTCGCACAAGGTATGGCGGGTGGATCACGGGGTGGGCGTTCACGGTGGGAGGCACACCTCTCAGAAACGCTGACTGTGTGTTACCCCTTCATTTGCTGGGCTTGTCCTTGCCACCCGAGGCCTCATAGGAAGCAGTATCTGGGACACTAACCAGTGAACTGCCACGCATCCAAAACGGAAGCCATCCCCATTTCTTCCGTGTGTGCTGGAATAGTTATGAATTTAAGTTACCATAATTTTCTTTACAAACCCAGAGATGTCACTCATAAGTCTGATTTTAAAATCGGGCGACCAGAGTTGATATGCGAGGTTTGCGGCTGTAGGCGTGCATGGCGTGTGGGGAAGGTGTGCCGCTTGTGTCTATAGACACTTATGGTGTACACAGGGCTCAGTAAGGATTTCTCTCTCCAGGGACCATTCACATCATTGTTTAATGCTCTTCCCCTGGGAAATTCCTCCTTTGATCTCTGTCCGTAAACCAGAGTTTTAATGCTAAGCTAAAAGCCTTAGGTGAGGGAATTTGGAGTGCACAGACTGAGTGACAGTTCCTACACTAGCTGGACAGTGCATCCTTGGACAGAAGGTGTGTTTATATTCACGTTAATCATATATTATTGACCTGAGCCAGAAATAAAACTTTCTCTTATCTGCCCTGACTAGGTGGCTCAGTTAGTTGGAGCATCGCCCCTGAACTGGAAGGTTGGGTTCGATCCCTGGTCAGGGCACATATCTAGGTTGTGGGTTCGATCCCCAATTGGAGTGTGTACAGAAGGCAACTGATCGATGTATCTTTCTCACTTTGGTGTTTCTCTCTCTCTCTCTCTCTCCCTTTCTCCCTTTTAAAATCAGTTTTTTTAAAAAAACAAAAAAACACAACTTTTTCTTATCTGTTTAAACTAGAATTTAGTTTATTTAGTGGAACTATTATAACATGTGAATCAGAGTTCTTCACACTTAAAATCTTTTCTTAGACATACCTTGTTTTTGAAAGTGGTCTCCTAAATATGGAAATGGTCTGTGTACAGTTTCTGATGTTAATAATATAAGTCTTCCTTTCTTTACACATTTCGGAAGAGTTGGCTCAGCAGTGAATGACTGGCCAACTCCATTCTCAAATGCTGCCACGGAGAGAAATCCTCCCCTAAGCCTGGGTTGGAAATGTTGTGACAGGGGCTTAAAATCGCATCTGGCCTTGTGACCTCATGCTGCGGGGAGTCAGCCTCCGAATCAGTGCTAAATAAGCTCCCCACAACCCACTGACGGTCAGAAGTAACTGGTGCTTTCAGCTGTGTGCCCCTTTCCTTGGGGGTGGCTGTTTGTGCCAGCCTTCTGACAGTGCAGCTTCGAGGTGTTTCCCTGCAGGGGGTTCCCTTTAACCTGAGACCAGCTTGGGCTCCCTGCAGGATGTGCTCCCCAAGTCACCTTGTGGGAGACCCTTCCCCGCAGCCACCCTGGTCCCTCCCTCTGCAAGCCGGCGCTGAAGGCGGCCTTTGGGAATGCCACCTGTGCTGCTGGCCTGAGGATCTCCAGCCTTGCACCTTCCCGGGGACACTCCGATGGGTCCCTGGACGTCCTCTCCCCCTCACCACACAGTGTTATCACCAAAGCTGTCTGGAGAGATGGGTCAGTCTGGAAGCTCATTTGCTAATCTTTTGAGGCCAGTTTTTCACCATTTCCTTTAGACGCATCATTGCCATAGTGATGAGGCGCTGCTGTGAGCCATGACGTGGCCAGGCCACCGTTCAGCATTCATTGGCTCCCTTTCTCTCTGGCCGCAGCCTGATTTCAGTTTGATCTCAGCCTGACCACTTTAAACCCCAGGATGGTCAAGGTAAAACAGCCTAGAAAAAAAACCCTCCATGTCTAAATAATGATGTTTGAGGATCTGTTTTTTTCTTCCAGTCAGGAGAGTAATATTCATTTTTTTAAACCTACTTTATTGTGAAATAAAACACAGATACAGGAAACAAACGTAAGGCTTAGTGAATTGTTATAAACAGCCCTCTGACTGTCGCCATGGTGTGGCTTAATGCGTCCTTGATCTCTCTGTTCCCTGTGAACTGCTACTGGGATCAGGAGGCATTAGCAGTTCCTGTTTGATGTTTTTGGGCGGTTGGACAAGACTTCATAGCTGCTGAGTCTCTCTGTGATACCAGCACCTAACAGTCACTGCCTAGAGATGCTCATTTATTCTGGATACCAAATGCTGCTGCTCTAATTCAAGAATCCTGTCTCCACTTTGTTAATTCTCACTGGAGGATGTTTTTCCATTGATTATTTATTTATTTATTTATTTATTTTAGAAAGAGTGGAAGGGAGGGGGAGAAATATATAGAGAGAAACATTGGTGTGAGAGAGACACATCAATTGCCTGTCTCCCATATACATCCCAACTAGGGCCTGGGATTGAGCTTGCAACCGAAGTACATGCCCTTGCTGGAATCGAACCCGAGACCCTTCCGTCTGAGGGCTGATGCTCTAACCACTGAGCAACTGGCTAGGGCTAGCCTTTATTTTTTTTTTTTTTACCAAGAGAAACTTGCCTGGCTTATCAGTTGGTTATGCACAATAGGGTAAACCCTGATTCTTTCCCCTTTATTTCCAGTTTTTCAAATATAATAATAAGTTGGTTCCCTATTGTCTTCCAAAGATGACAGATTAGGTTTTGCTTTGAGAGCGTTATGAACTCGTGGGTAGAGACATTTTTGATGGAGAGTCACTTTTTACAAGTTAAACGGTTCATCCTGGACTGAGCTAGGCAAGAGGACAAAGATGAGAGGCTTCTGCTCCATCGCTGGCTAGGTGTCATGTAAATCTCACTCCCTCTCCCCTCTGCCCCGGCTCCACGGAAGGCGACCACTTCATCAAGTTCTTCGCTCCGTGGTGCGGTCACTGCAAAGCGCTGGCCCCGACCTGGGAGCAGCTGGCCCTGGGCCTCGAACATTCCGAAGCTGTCAAGATTGGCAAGGTAAGCGCAGCCCTTATTACTCTGAAAAGAGACGGCTTCGGCTGGATTAATTAGCAGAGGAGCCCATTATTCACTCTGTGTGCGGAGCCGCAGACTTGATTTATTATTTCCATTCGGTGTGCCACTTGATAATTCATTTCACCTTCACAGATGGCAGCCTGGTGTCGAGTGTGCTGGCTTTTCCACAGCCCAGAGATAAATTACGGCTTTGGCTCCTTTGTGTATTTTGAAGTGATGGCCAATTCAGAATTGGCAGCCCCCGAGCCCTTTCTGCACAGATAGGGGCAGCGCCTCCGAGAATGTTCCCTGGACGTCGTCCACGTTTGATCTCACCCAAGAGCTCTTTCCTGAAGGACCCTCGGAGCTCGCACAGGCACCCAGGGAGCCTCCGCGGGGGCCCAGCTGCTCTGCTGCCTGAATTCTTTCCAGCTTTTCCCACTTTACACAGAGAAGCCAGCAGCGGTGTCTGACAAGTTCTCTGTAACTGGATTTTCTCGAAATATTAGTCACTTCTGCGCCATCAAGCACTTTTAATCTTATCGATCCTCTGGCACCCAGCAGACCATCCCTGCCTGGGTTTCTGCTAATAACAATCTCATTGTCTACATTGCCAGGGGCCAGTTTGTGTACAGAAGTAACGCTGTGTCCAGGAACTATAGTTAATAAGATAGTCTGCTCGACATGGGGAGGTGTCAGAAGTGTAAATTTGGACATCAGACAGACCTGGCTGGCCAGCTGGGGCAACCTGACACCTCGCTCTTCCTCTCGGTGAAACTGAGATGAGGTCTAACCGATAGTCCTGAGGATGGAAGCGAAGAGCTTGGCACGGTGCTTGGCACGGTGCTTGGCATGGAGCAGTGGCTAGTAAATTGTGGTAGTTGCTGTTAGTTCAATGGGTTTTTCAGTGTTGCCCGCAACACTTTCAATACCATGTCCTCGCATATATGGATGTGATTGAAATTTTATATTTATTGAACATTTAATGGAAGTCACTGTAAAGCAATCTTCTTGTCCACTGTCTTCCTGCGCCTTGTATCCTGACTTTGTCTTTTGGACTTTGATGGGAGATTATTCTGTTTTCAGTTTATGCCACTAGAGCAGACACAGTTTAAGTGACTGTGCTGTGGACCTTCATCCCCGGATGTACGTGTGCCTGGGTGAGACTGGGCTCAGCGCATGCACCCCACCTGATTTCAGTCTGTGGCGTCCTGTGCTTCAGTCCAGCACTTATAACTACTCTCTGATTTCCGTTCTCTGTTAACGTAGCAGTTCCAGCCACCTTTCTTGACACAGCGAAGAGCAGCTTGGACTCACAAGCTGGTTTTAATGCCAGTAGAAATGAAAGAAGTGACTTAGGATAAAATGTTTCATGAAAATGTTGAAAAGGAGAATCATATGAACATTTATTTATTTATTAAAATATATTTTATTGATTTCTTACAGAGAGGAAAGGAGAGGGATAGAGAGTTAGAAACATTGATGAGAGAGAAACATCGGATCAGCTGCCTCCTGCACACCTCCCACTGGGGATGTGCCCGCAACCAAGTTACATGTTCTTGACCGGAATCGAACCTGGGACCTTTCAGTCCGCAGACCGACGCTCTAGCCACTGAGCCAAACGGTTTTGGCATGAACATTTAAAGGAAATAAAAAATCTGAAGAGCTGTGAGGGTTGGTAAATTGAGTTTGTAGAATTAGGGACATAATCTAAACTTAATTGGGCATCTTTTCAGTTTCATCTTTATCATATACCAAGGATTTCTATTTGCAATTGACTGCTTGTTCCTTCTTAATTTTAAAACTCCGTAAGTTTGAAGAGAGGACGAATATAGGAGCTGGCTGGCGTTGTGACTGGTGGGTGTCCATCACCGACACCAGGCCTGCCCCTCCGCGGGGTCAGGCCAGGCTGCCCCTCTCCGCTGATTAGCCTGCTCCAGGCATTGCTTACTGAAAGTGCCACTTTCAGTGAGCAACTCACTCATGCCTCTAAAGTGAACGTCTCGCGTCTCCTGCTCCCTGGGCTCGGGCGTCTTTGGGCCGCGTCTGCAGGGAAGGTCGCAGACACTGCAGCCTGCTGGCCCGGGGGCTGCAGGTCAGGGTTAGAAGTTTTCTTTGTAAAGAAACTCCCCAGCGCCATCGTCCTTTTTGGCAGGCGGGCTCCCAGGTGCTAACTGGACGGTGGTCTTGCCTTGCAGGTGGACTGCACGCAGCACCACGCGCTCTGCTCTGGCAACCAGGTCCGAGGCTATCCCACGCTCCTCTGGTTCCGGGACGGCAAAAAGGTGCGTCTTTGGGTCTTAGCCACGGTGGGCTGGGCTGTCGGGTGCCTAACAGGCGTGCGAATTCTCAGAATGGACAGTTTGGGCACCAGTTTAAAGGATACGTGTAATGGAACAAAAATGCCTTTTTCTTAACGGATAAGATTTGGGTAGTGGAGAAGCACTGCCGGTTGTTATACTATTTTGAAGCCTTTCGTTACCGTTCTGGGTAACCGAGCTCTGGCTGTGACCTCTGAGCAGGGTTCACGCGGCCTCTCGGTAAGGTTCCCGTTCCCGCTCCGGCTGATGGGCAGCCTCTCGGAGTGCCTGCGGGGGCCGCCGGGCTGTGCTTCGTAGCTCTGCAGAGGGAAGGGCCATAAAGCTCTCCCCGGAGCCAACCCCTCCCTTTGTAACCCGTGCTCTCCCAGTTAGATCCGGCCCGCGGGCACCGCACAGCTCACACAGCCAGGGGAAGGCGTCTGACGGCCGGGTCCAGGCGGGCGAGGGGTGGCAGGAGGTTGGAGTGGTTGGGGCACTTCGGTGTACTAACTCGGCCGTGTTTCCGTGGGGCCCTTCCTTGGACAGGTGGACCAGTACAAGGGAAAGCGGGACCTGGACTCGCTGAGAGAGTATGTGGAACAGCAGCTCCAGGGTGCAGACCGCGGCGCCCCAGAGACCACCCCACCCACGGAGGCCCCGGTGGGTGCTGCAGAGCCCGAGGCCGACAAGGTGGGTGCCCACCCAGCACCGCCCGCAGAGGGCTTTCTCCTCTGGCGCTGGGGACACGGGACATTGGAGGACAGTACTGAGCCATTCAGGTGGTTGGTTACAGTTGACTTTTCAACACAGAACATTTTCTTTGACTATGTTTACATGTTTGTAAGGGGCAAACAGCAACATGGGTGTGAGGGGAATCCCGAGATGGAGCCGAGATCTCTGGGAATTTCCTCCTCTTGATTCAGTTACCACTGTACCTGAGGGTATTCGCTCTGAAAGCTTGTCTGCTGCCTCGCACGCCCACTGTCTGTTCGTTTCCACAACGGGCTGCAGGCACTTTACCGTAGCCTGTGGCGTATAAAGACTGGGAACGCTGGGGAGCGGGAGAGCTGTGTGCTGGGATTGGAGGCAGGGGGCTGGAGGACATTTAATTTCCTTAGACAGTCTCTGACTCACTGAGGGCATCTTCATTCTCAGTTAGTTTGAATTTAACTCTAGCATTCGTTCTGTGATTATCAAGCCCTTGTTATGTTTCAGGCACTGTCCTGGGCCACCAGGCGGCAAACACAAGACCATGCTGCTGCCTGTGCCGGCCGTGGGTGTAGTGGGGGCTGCGTGAGAGCACATGCATGCAGGTGTCGCAGGGCTCAGTGTGTGCAGGCTGGCCGGTCACTGTGTGAGAGAAGGGGCCGAAAGGCAGACATGTCCTTGGAGAAGTGGCAGGTCAAGGGTGTTTGCTGGAGAGGTGGGGGAAGGCATGCCTGGTGGAGGAGGAGTGTGAGCAGCAGCACTGCGCTGGGGCCGGCGAGTGACACGGGGCAGGGCCTGCTTTGGCTGGAGGGCGGGGTGGAGAGGGGGACAGGATGCAGAGGGAAAGAGTGGGGATTGAGGAGAGCTGGGTAGCAGAGGACTTTGCTGGGCAGCCAAGATTTTGAGCTTTATTAAGAGGGATCCGATGGAAGGCTTGAGTTTTAGAAAGATGACTGGCAACAGCGTGTATGAAGGAGATGGAGAACTGGTGTGTTAGGTCATAAAAGATGAGGAGACCCCAAACTGAGGCCGAGAGTGGGATGGAGGGCAGGAGTGCCGCCAGCACAGGGACTCCAGTTCTGAGCAGTTAGGACGGTGGGGTCTGTGCTGCTGCCAGGTGGCTGGTGGACGATGGCACCGAGCACAAGCAAGGGGCTTTGTGGGGGAGGGGAGGATGGAGATGCCATCAGTTTTCAAGGTGTTCATTTTCAAGGCTGTGAGGTGGTAACTGTGTACAGTGTATCAGCCTGCAGCTAAAGCAGGCTGTCTACACTTCCTGTATATGGAGCTTTAGGTAGAAGCTATTGCTGCATTCATGGGTTAGAATGAGATTTAAGGGAACTTCAAAATAATGTTTTTTCAGGAAAACAATGCTTGGATTTCCTAGCTAAGAGCCTTAAGGCCTGTCTGTCAACATATTTCTGAAGCAGAACACTTAATGTTGCTCCTTCAGGTCACACGACTGTACTTCATAGCATGCCAGGTCTTACCTGGGATGCCAGGATGCTGGGGCAAGGAAAGGGGCGGGGTGCCCGCGCTCCCAGAGAGCGGGCAGCGAGCCAGATGTGCCCGACCGCTCCCGGGAGCCCTCCAGCCCTCAGCATTCACAGCAGAGGTCCCGGCGCGCTGGAGCATCTGTCCCCGGGCCCCAGCTGTTCGGAATTGGAAAAACCAGTGGAAACCCGACCCATCCTCTCAGGGCTGGGGAGAAGGGCCTCTTCGTCCCCACAGCCCATCCCTTGTTGGACTCTTGCAGGTTGGGCGTGAGTTAAAAGTTGAAGTTTTGGTTTAAGAAGTAAACAAATGATTTTGTCGTTATGACCACATTCGTTAGAGGAGTGTGTGTGTCATGGTGGTTAGAAAGGTCATCCCAAATGGAGTATAATTACATACTATGGATGTTTTCATCAAACACAGAGTGGCTTCTATTTATAATGAAGTTTTCCATTAAGCGGGCCTTTCGGGGAGGGTGGCGTCCTGTTTCGGGACATACAGAGAGATGGCAGTGCTCTAAGTGCCCCTGGCACTCGGGCGGCGCTGCCCTGGTACCTTTAGCCACGTGATAAGTCACCCATGTTCTTGCTCTCCGGAGAGAATCGCAGAAGTAGTTTTGGAGAAACACGAGACGCTAAAGGGTCCTCTAAAGAGCTGTCACGGTAGAGTCACTTTGGAGCAGACGGCACCAGGCAGCCAGAGCTCAGAGGAGCCGCTTTTACATTTACTTCGAATTTAAAAATGGAAAGAAGCCTGTTACATGTAAAACACATCATTGCCTGTGCTTTTGTAACTTTTTGTAAGGCCCCTCGATGACAGAGAAAGTCACTTGCATGCATCCCTGTGATAGAGAGCTTCGAGTCAGCGGAGGGGCCACAGGTACAGGCTTCAGGAGGCCCAGGAAGGGGGTGTCTGCGCTCTGGTCAGCGTGGGAGGCTCCGAGGCAGGGAGGTCTGATTCAGGCCCTGCCCGCCTGGAGCTAACTGGTCCACTCCCCAGCCCCGGGGGCAGCAGCTGTCCCTCACCCGCCCTGGGCTGGGGCGGGGGCAGAGGCGGGCAGGGCAGGGGGCGGTGCGAGGAGCGCTGCACTGTCCTGCCACCTCCCTGAAGCGTCCCGGGGGCTCAGGGCCCACGGGACCTGTGATGTCCCTCTGCCCTTCAGAGGCCACTGCTCTGCCCTAGTGTGCCGTTGGTGAAATGCAAGTCGTGTAGGCAGTTTTGTGTGACCTTGGAGTATGCATTAGCAGCATTCAGAATCATTGCTTTGTCTTCCTGCAATCCCAAAGCGTTATCCCATGTGCTGTGAGTGATGTGTTTCACTGTGGCTTTCCCTCCCCTGAAGGGCACTGTGCTGGCACTCACAGAAAACAACTTCGATGACACCATAGCAGAAGGAATCACCTTCATCAAGTTTTACGCTCCGTGGTAAGTGGCTCCTTCATTAGAAACCACATTTCCTCGTGCACTTCCGTCCCTTCGCATTTTCCAGCTCCTTAGCCCACCCTCCAGGCCCATCCTGGGGCTCTGTCGTAGGAAATAAGGAAAGTTATCTTTATGCTCCTGTGTTCAGGTGTGTTCCAGTTGGGAGGTATTCATAACCATGTATGGAAAATTAGGTTAGTTTATTTTATCGTTCGGTCTGCTTTGCAGAAAACATAATAATGGCAGAGAACTCTGGTGGTCGTACAGGACTTATGTTGTGGTGTCTGTGCGCTTCGCCAAATAGGTAGCTTGTTTTGGTTACATAATCCATGAACAGCTTGATGTACTTCTGCTCCTTAGTCTATTTATTTATTCATTCATTCATTCATTCATTTTAAATTCTTTGTTGTTGAAAGTTTTACATATGTCTCCTCCCCTCCTCCCCCCATTGACCTTTCCCTGCCCCCACTCCTGATAGTCGGTGTCCATTGGTCATTCATGCTCATGTGCATGGATGCCAGTCCTCTCCTATAGAGATCACTCCAGCAGCTGAAGTCAGTCAGAGCCATTCCTGCCACACGGCGCTCAGGGACCATGTGCATGGGGTTGGGACCAAGGGAAGACAAGAGGTCCAGAACTTCCCCGAACTGCTGTGATTCTAGGTGGCCTTTAATTCCCTGAAACTTAGCAGTAAAACTGAAGGGTGTCTGCACAAATGAAACACTGCATTTGGGAATGCAGGATGCTGGGAGAGTCAGTTCCGTATTTAAAAGTGGACAGGTAAGGTCACCACATACCATTTTTGCTCTTTATAGAGCAAAATACCATTTCAGATATTCATGAAAAACCATCATAGCAGAGATAAAAGTTAATGAGCCCTGGCTGGTTTGCTCTGGTGGTTGAAGTGTCGTCCAGGAACTGAAGGGTCTCAAGTTCACATAATTAGGTTGAGGGTTCGATCCCCAGTCGGGTAGATATGGGAGACAACAGATTAATGTTTCTCTCTGACATCCATGTTTCTCTCTCTCCCTCTCCCTCTCCCTCTCCCTCTCCCTTTCCCTCTTCCTCTCCCTCTCCTTTTCTCTCTAAAATCAGTAAAAAGATATATATCCTCAGATGAGGATAAAAAAAAGATTTGAGCACATGACTTGTATGAGTTGTGCTGTTTTAATTTTTAAAAAATAGAAACACTAGCCAAGCCACTTTGGCTCAGTGGATAGAGAATCAGCTTTTGAACTGAAGGGTCTCCGGCTTGGTTCCGGTCAGGGGCACATGCCCAGGTTGTGGGCTCGATCCCTTGTCAGGGGCACGCAGGAGACAGCCGATTAATGATTCTCTCTCATTGATGTATCTATGTTTTTCTCCCTCTCCTTTCATCTCTGAAATAAATAAAAATACATTATATATATAAAGAAACACTAGTAGCCGAAACTGGTTTGGCTCAGTGGATAGAGCGTCGGCCTGCGGACTGAAGGGTCCCGGGTTCGATTCTGGTTAAGGGCATGTACCTTGGTTGTGGGCACATCCCAGTAGGGGGTGTGCACAAGGCAGCTGATCCATGTTTCTCTCTCATAGATGTTTCTAACTCTATCTCTCTCTTCCTCTCTGTTAAAAATCCAAAAAAAAAGAAAAAAAAAAAGAAAAGAAAAGAAACACTAGTAAATAATGCCTTTAAAACTATCTTCTATTTAAAAAACAACAAAAAAGCTATATAGATCAAGTTTGAAGATGGCAGATCCCTTTTTATTGCAGGGGAGCAGTTCTTGGAGTCAGAAAAGGGACACGAAGTTTTGAATGATTTATTGCTCACACCACATCACCAAAGCTTGAGGGGAACTGTGAGGTTGTTTTGAAATGTTGAGATCATAAGCAGTCAAAGCTAAAATGTTTTTAGCCTTCAAGTGATTAAAAACAACAACAACGTTTGGAGTCCATTTTGTTTCCGGTTGGTTTCCTCCTGTTCGTGACGCATTCATAAACCAGTTAGCCGAATTTACGGGTCACTGAAATGGTTTCAAAACCCAGACTTGTTTTCAGACCAGCTTGTTTCCATCAGGTTACCCAGGAGTCTGATTCAGGTGGACTTTGCCGTCTTTGTTTTGGAGGAGGAGGAAGACAATGGGAGAATTTGGTGTTTTCTAAACTTCTAGGCAATTGTTGCCAGCCTCATAGAAACACAAGGCTTGGCAGTGACCTCGACCTGGGACTTGAACAAAGCGGTCATTCTTCCATTTCTAGGTGTGGCCACTGTAAGAACCTGGCTCCTACCTGGGAAGAACTCTCTAAAAAGGAATTCCCTGGCTTGGCAGAGGTCAAGGTCGCCGAAGTGGACTGTACTGCTGAGCGCAACATCTGCAGCAAGTACTCGGTGGGTACCCGTGGATGGAGACACTTCTGGGAATGCCGAGTATCAGAGCTGATCCAGTATGGAGCTGGAATGTGGTATCGTTGTCTCAACCAAGATAACTCGCTGCCCTCCTCCCTCAACAAAGCGCTGTTTGTGTCCTTTGGAGGTGTTTTGTTTTTTCACTTTGAAAAGGAAGAGATGCTCTGAAAGAAAGGCTCTCTCCCTCTGCTACAAACATGTTCAGAGGGGTCTCGGCCTTGCTTCTGGGCAGAGGCTGCTGGCCAGTATCTGAGATCCACCCTGGTGAGCGAGGCCCCCTCCGAATGCACATTCTCACGGACAGTCAGCTGGCCCGTAGCCTTCATCCGAGATACCAAAGTGGCTTTATTTTTATTTTTTTACACACGCCAGTGTTCTAAAGTCGATGGCTGAATAGGCAACATTAGAACATAGACTTCCTCCTGAGAGGGCCTCCCCACAAGCCAGTCTTGCATTGGATTGTCCTTCAGCTGTTGCCTCCTTCCTAGCCATTAGCACCATCTAATAGCCTGCAAGATTTGTGATTTGTACTGTTCTTTTGGTTGCTTTCCTAAAAGACTTTTGAGGCTTCTGATATTTATCATATTTATCATCTCATCAGATTGAGAATAGATGACATTTTTTTTTTTACTTATCATTGGGAGATGCCAGGCATTTTTTGTGTGTGTGTGTGTGCCTTAAAATTCTCAAAAGAGGAAAGATGTGAATTGCAGCTGAAAAATATATCTCCTCGAGGGCCTCGCTGCTCCTCAGTACGGCCTCGGCACCACGGGGCTGGCACCACGGGGAGCTGGTCATAAACGCAGCCTCTGGCCCCACGCTGACTCCACCCGGCCAGGGGAGCGTGCACGGCAAGGACTCTGGGACTCCACCCCGGGGAGGCATCCCTTTGGCACTAATCGTGGACGTAATTTTGGGTTAGAAACTGAATAAATAGTCCAGTGGCTTTGCTTGCTGAACTAGCTGGTACTTTTTAAATGGAAATTTAACCATCGACTTTCCCGGCCACAACAGGTGTTTTTTTCTGGCTTTAGTTAAGTAATTTGTGTATGAGTCAGGCCAGTTTTCAAACTGTGTTTTCTCGTTACAGGTACGAGGCTATCCCACATTGCTGCTTTTCCGCGGGGGAAAGAGAGTCAGTGAGCACAACGGCGGCAGGGACCTTGACTCGTTGCACCACTTCGTTCTGCGCCAGGCGAAGGACGAGCTATAAAAGCGCAGGGAAGTGGCCCTCCCGCCGGCCTCCTGGACTGAGAGGAGGAGCAAGTCGTGCGGACCTTGGGAGGTTCCGGTGGTGGTTACTCAGAAAGCTGTCTGTGCCGAACTTGGGGTACCTTCTGTGTGTGTGTGTGTGTGTGTGTGTGTGTGTGTGTGTGTGTGTGTGTGTAAAGCCAACACATTCTACAGGATTTTAAGTTTCTCTAAGTAAATAATGATCCCTTTGCAAACTAAGTATTTTCAGTGGCAATCTATCATCCCTTTTAACCTTCTCTTGATGGAATCTAAATGGTTTCCTTTTGAAACTAAAACAGTGTTGAGGAAAAGCAAATCGCTGGACTATTTTTGGCTCCTGAGTGGTTTTGGTGAAACCATCATCCAACGCACAGTTTTGAACTGCCCACGAGTCTGGAAAGGTAGTCTCATGGCGTATTGTCATTTCTCTGATCTCAAGGTCACAGCTAATTATGTGATTGGAGCAGATTTAAAAACAAACCCCCACACCTCTGGAAGGCACCTTCCCAGCCTCCTGGATTTTGTTTCTGTTAATACTCTCATCGCAAGAGGTTTGCCATAATGAAAGCAACGGTACTTTTGACATGTGCCTGAGTAAGGTAATGCTGATGCCATAATCTTACGTGTGTGTTGATATTTGTCAGATCGTTATTACTGTTCAAAGGATATTTCTGTTTGTTTCTCCTGGGTGAAAGATTTCATTGGTTATGTTAACATTAACTCAGGATCCATGAGATTTTAAGTCCATGTTTAAGATTTGCTATCTCCCTGTGGAAAATGTGGGCATGGAAAGCTCCACCAGGCTTGTCCTGACTGTTCTGTTAACTCATAGAAAGATCCTGGTGGTATCTGTCACCTGGGGAAAAGGACTAGATGGCGGGTGCGGGTATCAGGGACCAGGGGACTTGGGCAGCTCTGCTCCAGGGCCCCAACAGAGCAGTTTTAGTTCTGCTCCTTGGTAGTCCTAGCTGCCAGGGGTGGGGAGCGTCTGGCCCGAGGGCTGTATAGAGGCCTGAGGAATCATTTCATCTGGCCCTACCAAGGCATTAGGGGTGAATTAATTTAATGTTTGATCAGATACAGCAGGCTATTTTTCAGTTGATAATTTTCTGTAGCCTGTGAATGATGTTATAAATAACCAAATGGCCCTTGACAGTAAAAAGGTTCCCCATCCCTGTTAAAAGGCTCTCTGTACATCATCGTCTGCCTTCACGGAGATTGAATGGTATTAACTTTACCTAAAGACCAAAGAATGAGTAGGCGAGGCTGTGTCAGAGCTGAAGTAGGCTGTGCTACCATCAATGCTAATGCTCTTATAATTTATGCCTCCCTAGTTGTTAAACATTTTTACCATCACCCTTGGAAGTAACCATAGGACCAGGCTCCCTGTATGTTCTTTGCCCTCAAGTTACCTTTCCAAATTACCCTTCTGTCTGCCACTCTCACCCACCTCCCATGCTTGGGGGAGCCAGTCCCCTGGCACACAGTAACTGCTGGTAAGAATCTCAGACACAGGACGCATCTGCTGTCTGCGGCAGATGACAACAGAGCAGGATCTCGACCAGCCTCTGCCTTAAGGAAATCTTTATTAATTGTCACAGATGTTCTTGTTAAAAAAAACCAGCTTTTCAGGAGAAGCACAATCCTCATGAGTGGCTTCCGCTTTGCATCATGAGTCTTGTATTGAAAGAAAATCAAAGTGGTACAATTTGTTTACACTCGGATACTTTCTAAATAAACTTTTTTTAAAAAGAAGTCTAGTCTTTCCTTAAATGTTACAGCAAAACAGATATAAAACAGACAATAAATTATAGTTTATATTTACACAAAAGCTGTAAGTGCAAACAGTTATAGATCATAAATGTATTATTTAATCAGTTTAATATGAAATTGGTTTCCTAGTATATGATTGTGAGAAAGACATTTAAAAAATACTCTAAGATTTAATCTGAGTCTTACTTTCTACAAGAGAAAACTGATTTCGATTCATAAACAGCATGGCCTTCCAAACCCATTCCTACAGGCCAGCGCCCCTCACTCAGTTTATGTCCTGTGTTGGTTCTCGCCTGTGACACGGAAGGCCGTACAGTAAGAGGGAAAGAACTGTTTTACTGAAGTAGATGGGATATGAGAGCCAGCCTTTCTGAAGTCCCTGTGCTTTCAGGGCCGTTGCAAACAGCAGGAGGTCAGCACTGCTTGTACCTGTCACGTGGGGGCCGCTGAAGATGCTCCACCCTGTGGCTCCCCACACAGCACCAACGTTCTGCTGATGGTACTCGCAAAGAAAACAGCAAATGGGGGAGGAATGACGTGTGGAAATCACGTGGTTTGTTTTAACTGAAATAATTCTTTTTTCACACCAACAGAACACCAGCACAAACACCTGACAGCAGTTACCAAACAAAAGGCACTTCCACGTGGCCCTGATTATGGCTTGGGCTGTTGATCTTATATGAAATTGACCTTCCAGGGAACGAAATCCTTGAATAGAGACATTCCCCCCATCCCCAATTTCTGTTAACTGTAAAATCTATTTTTGAGAAACATTCTAAATTGGCTGATACTTCAGCCAAGGTTACTTTTACTTCTTTAAAATTATTTTCCCTGTTCACTCAGTAATACCACAAATAGCTTGATATAAAGCTAACTCTAATTTTGGTGGGCTTTTATGGGGGAAGAGGAACCCTTCAAAGTTATATTTCTGCAATGTCCAGACTCCATACCACAGCCATTCAAATAGCCACCTACAGACCAACTACTCACGTTCTTTACTACACGGGCAAGACGTTACTGAGGCCCTTCAAAGTCTTCCTTGGGCAATAAGGCACCAACCGGCAAGAGAGGGTTTCAAAGTCATCGTCCCACTGTCATATCCCACACACGTCAGTGCTGTTGAAGGCAGGGCTAAGCTAGGAATCCAAGGCAGGACCTCTGACCCCAGCAGGCAGTTTCAAGTTAGTGGCATCCACAAGCTCTCACAACCATATTCCTGTATTTCTTCAAGATAACATTGGAGTTGTCATCAAAGTAAAGAACCGAGATGGCATTTAGTTTAGTTGGCGCACAGCACGGTTTAGGGACGTACTCGGGATTCATAAGGTGAACCTGTTTTAAAACAGAAGGAGGAAAAGGTTCCATCAGAAATGACCCGGCCTTGGCTGACACCCACCCACACAGTGCTGGAGGGCTCTGAGCTCACCAGTGTCTGCACGATCGCATGGTTCGTTGCATTCATATGTGCGTTGAGTGGGAAGGAGCATTCTCCATCACAGTAATTGGCAGCATAGCCCTTGGGTGCAATGATCCAGTCCTTAGTTTAAAAAAGCAAAAGCAAGCAACAAAGAGATAATTAACATACACTCCTTACATCTGTGCTCTCAGTAATCCTGTGAGGAAAATCAATCCCATGGACAGCTCAGTAGACAGATGCAGGAAGGTCAGTTTCACATTCAGGTGGCAAAGCTGGCTGTGACCCTGATGGGTGTGACCACAGAGCCCTCGCTCTTTCCACAGGCCCAAACGACATTTAGCTGCTACCTGCCTGCTGAGCCCGGAAGCACATGGGGCTGGCTTTGTGAACTTGACCCAAGGGAGCCTCTCCAGGAGCCTGGGGTACTCCCTGTCATGCCACTGTATATGGAAACTACCTTCTGCCACTTGTCACCTATGATTTGCTTCTTATAAACTGTGGTGACTCAGGTGTGGGTCAGAACTTTTGTTCTCGTCTAGTAGTTTAGTTATAGCCATTGCAGTTTTAACTATTGACCCATTTTTCCAACCCTCTCTCAAAACAAAATTTGTTTAATTGGTAAATGTAAATACCTATCCTGTGGACTTTGAGAGAATGAGAAAAGAGTATTGAAAAAAGATGGTTATTGATTTTGAGGTACGCAGAGCTGGGGAACCCTGGGCTCCCTGGAAAGGTGCCAGTAAGGGCCGTGTGCACACGTAGGCCAGGCCTTCACCCACCTCACTCCAAGAGCCTGGCATTTGGGAGGACTCCTATGTACCTTCCTGGGAAGAACCATCTCAGTCCTAAAGCTCAAGATCTTTGATGATGGCTGCCGCCATGAGGATGAGAAAGGCCTGCTGAGAAAGGAACGTGGTCCCCCTTGTTCTGAGAACTCACCTGCCATCCCAGGTCTTGGAAGCTCACATAAAGCTCATGCTTCCTGCAGGCTGTTTTTAGCTCACTGCTGTTGTAATCTGTTAGAAGAGATAAAAAGGTAAAGACATTAACTCATTCATTCCCTCGCCTGGCACTGTATTAGGCTCAGGATAGCAGTGCACAAGGCCTCTGTGAGACAAATTTGGTCACCAAACAGCTCAATGAAGTTCCCGGTAGCGTGGGTGTTTTACACACTCTGTCTTGTCCACTCTGGGTTTAGTGCTGGGCACACTTGCAAATGATACATAATACTGACTTGACTGGAATCTCTTAAGCAACCAGTGTTTGTTGTGAGCCCCTGTTGTGTGCAAGGTCTATGGAGAGGGTGTTCCAAGATGCCCAAACACTCCAGACGTCTGACTTGGAAGACATCATATTTGCAGTAAAAGACTCTCCTCAGCAGGATTTGCTATATTTCTAACAGGCACTGTCTTGAAGCTGTACAGGGTTTTTTTGGTTTTGTTTTGTTTTTGTTTTGTTTTGTTTTGTTTTGTTTTGTACAGGGGTTTTAAAGCTAGCTGCCGGGCTAGGGAAGTATCCAGGAGGCCCAGGAGAGGGGACGAGAGGGAGACAGTGCTGCAGCTGGGACCATCCTCATCGGCAATGTCCTCCGGCCTCTCTGCTTTATTTAACCATTTTTTTGGTTAAATTGGTTAAATCTATTTATTTAACCATAAATAGATTTATGATCTATTTAAATGCTTTAACCTGCATTTAAGCAACAACTCCTAAGCCAGGAGTGCCAGTGATCTGCTGATGTGTACATGCCCCCTCTGTGCCATTCCGGAGCCACCAGCCTGCTTATCCTACTCATTGGCAAGAGGAATGGCCGTGCCCCGATTCATTGGCAAACTGCGGCTCACGAGCCACATGCGGCTCTTTGGCCCCTTGAGTGTGGTTCGCCCACAAAATACTACCTGCGGGCACGCACGTATCGTGTGATTGAACCTTCATGGCCCGTGCACAGAAGTTGGTTTTCGGCTCTCAAAAGAAATTTCAATCGTTGTATTGTTGATATTGGGCTCTGTTGACTAATGAGTTTGCCGACCACTATCCTAAGGGAAGGCCTTTCAGCAGAGGCTCCTCGCTCCACGGCGGGAAAGGCACAGGGACTGCCATGCGGCCGCCGGTCCCTCTCGGGAGGAAGGAAGTAAAAGAGAGTTGGGAGAGAGGGCCAGGCTGCAGAGCCCCACGTGTGTCTTCATTAAGTCTTTATTCTTTTTTTTCTTTTTTTTTTAATATATTTTATTGATTTTGTACAGAGAGGAAGGGAGAGAGATAGAGAGTTAGAAACATCGATGAGAGAGAGTCATCGATCAGCTGCCTCTTGCACACCCCCTACTGGGGATATGCCCGCAACCAAGGTACATGCCCTTGACCAGAATCGAACCCGGGACCCTTCAGTCCCCAAGCCGACGCTCTATCCACTGAGCCAAACCGGTCTCGACTAAGTCTTTATTCTTCCAGGACTTTGCCAAGGGGGTTGCATCTCCTCCAGCCTGCTGAACGATTAAACCGGTGGTTCCGATACACAGAAGCACCGTGTCCATTGCTAAAGGTCAACCAGTGGCTTCCATTCCCACTGTGGCATCCGCTGCCTCAGTGGCTGTGCCATCCTCCTCCCCAGCCTCGCCCGTGTCCATATGATTTGTGACGCTGGGTCCCCTGGGGCTGGGAACACCGGAGGTGCTGGGCGGCCAGCGCCAAAGGAGCTGCTCGCAAATGCGTCTTCCCGGCGTCCGGCTGATGGCAGGAGGGGGATGTTGTCCTTGCACCGCAGACACCCGAGCGCCCACGTCTGACAGTCCTGCTCGGAGGGTGGGGACGGGGATCAGTCACAGCTGGGTGGGCCCAGAGGCCGATGCTGCGGCTCCCAGCACACAGAGCTTGGCATGAATCCCTGTGTTCATCCTCATTCCCATCTTCCGGCCACTCGTAGGCCACCTTGTCCCCTGTTTCATTTGTACGTCCACGCAGGTTATGGCGGAGAGACGGTCTTGGTTCTGGCTGGGAGCTCTTTCTTCTCGGCTGCTGGGTCACGGCCCTGACACTCACCTCCGCTGGTGACAGCCTCTACTCCCTGGCCCTATAGCCGTTCTTCCCTATGATGGCTGGGCCCACTTGACAAAAAGGCCACTCCACCAGCCCCACTCAGCTTAGGCAAGCGGACACTGCAGGGGAGCATTTCTCTAATTCCGTGCGGGAGGGCAGGGTGCTCTGACTGCTGCGGCACCATGGCCCGCCACCTCCTCACAGCATCTCCGTTCCCGGGCAGCGGCCACGGACACTGCATGTTTGCTCCACCCAAACACGAGGGGCACATCCCTCAGCCCGAAGAGGCCTTCGGGGTCAGTTTCACCCGCACTCCCTGTACCTGGCCCTGGAGACCACACTTGAGGAGCCAGTGCTGGGAGAGCCTGGGTGCACAGCTCATCTATTTCTGTGGCACAATCGCTCAGTGCACTGAACGGCAGGTTTCCCTTGAACGGAAGACAATGAGCCCCGGATGTGAAGGGCAGGGCCTGCTATGATCCTGACGTGCAGGGCAGGCGACGTGCAGGAAAGCTGTGTGGCCAGCGTGAGGGGCACCATCGCAGCAGAGTCTGGGCCACACAGCCACCACCTGAGGACCCCAGGGTGGTGACTGCACCTGAGCCACAGCGCTCAAGCCCAGCCCAGCCCAGCCCAGGCTCCAGGGATCCAGGCAGCCCGCCCACTTTCCTTTCCAACCCCAGCAGGGGAGGATGAGAGAGAAGCTACAGGAGGAGAGAGAAACAACAAGGAAGACATGGAGAGGGGAAAGGCAGAAGAGAGACAAAGGCAGGGCAAGCATACAAAATTAGGTGAGAGGGAAGGAGGACGAGGCGAGGACAGGTGGCGCCTTCGGCAGGGGCTCCTGCAGAGTGGGTGCCTGGCTGGTGGGCTGACCTCGGGCTGGCCGCTGAGGCCACTGTCCCTGCTCAGCGAGACACACGCTCAGCCAGGGCGATGCTGGCAGGGCGGGCGCTGGGGACAAAGCGGCAGGTCCACACTGTCTTTCCTGAGCTCAGGCCAACATCTTCCGAGAGGAACTTGTTTTTCAGAGTGAGCAACTCACTCCCACTTCCCCTCTCTCCCAGGATGCCGAGGGGCAGGACAACAGCCGCTGTTAAAATGGCACCTCTGTCTTCAGTGGCCTGGCCGCTCTTCCCTTATCCCGGCCTTATCTGCCCGTCTTATCCAAACAAGTCTCTGGCTCCCACAGACTCCATTGAGAACACGCTGGAAGGAGCCCAGCTCCTGAGCTCAGGCACAGCAGGCTGCCGGAGTCTCGATTTCCAATGTCTGTAATCTCATGAAGTGTGGGGCGGGGTTGGGGGGGGGATTTATTTTCAGAATCTAGATTTTGTTTACAGGCTGGATGGTAGCACGGGCAGACCCTATTCTTCTGCTGCTCAGCACCCCAAGGTCTCAGGAGATCCCGTTCCGAGGGGCCACCTGGGCCTCCCCTTAGGCTCTGTCTTGAGAGCAAAAGAATACGGAGCTAAGTTTTGTGAAAATAAACACTCCCCTTGAACACGAAGTTTTAAAACTCCTTGTGCTCCGAGCACCTCTGTTCCCGTCAGTTCCTAGACGAGTCTCAGGCCCCCCAGTCTCCTCAGGAGCAGCGACTGCTGGTGAATTACTCAGCAGCACCTGTCCACACCGTGTTATTACACCTTTCAGCATTGCTGCCACCAGGGATGGGACACCCTTCCAGGCGGTTTCGCTCCCTGATAACTAATATCCTCAAGCACGTCATGGCCAAGGAGAGTCAGTATTATATACTCGGCATCTGGAATTATTCCAACGTTCAGACCACCAATGCCATACCTGTGCTCCATAGCGGTGGAAATTTGATTTCGTTTAGAAAACTTTTAACAAGCCTCTACTTTTTGACAGGTACAGTTGGAAGCCTAAGATTTTAATTTAAGATCAAAATGATAAATTAAAATGCCCCCTCCTTTGAAGAATTATAAACAGTCTGTTCCTCCCGGCTTTGGCGGCCATCCCACAAAAGCAAGGAGGACCTTGTGGGGACACCTGCTTGGGAACTAAAAGGCCACATACGTGCTGACCTGTAAGAATGAGACCACTCCAGTCTGTGGGCTGGAGTGCCCTGAAATGCACAGCAAAAAATCTCAGAGTCATAAAATGCCCAAGCTGTTGCTCAGCAAGCCAGGAATTCTGGTTACCTGTCTTATCTGGAAGCAACTGAATCCGCTCAGGGAATAGAAGATATGAACTATCAACGAGGTCAAATAAGTATATCTAAATGCACCAGAGCCACATGTCTCCCAGGACCTTACAGACACATGCTTGGAAAGAGATGGAAGGAGACTGACTGTAAGAAATGCTAACAGGGAGCTTTTGAAGAACTCATTCCAAAGGACAGAGGGTTTTGAGAGGTTGCTGGTTTGTAGATGTGGCAGGGATCTGGGTGGTGGCAACATAAACATCAAGGATGAAAGAGGCCTACAACTCATCTAATTCAGTTTCACATGAATTGTTAAAAGTGGCAGAAAATGTTTGCAAACTACCGTTGCCAAAAGAAAGAGCAGTTGTGAGGCACACTGTTGGCAGCCAGCTGGTTGACCTGGCAGAAAACCTCACACTCACCAGCTGACTTGAAACCCCATTACCCACCCACTCCCCAAAGATACCTTGAAAAGATCCTGGAAAATAAGCTAGATCAGTATCTAGAATCAAGGCCTTTTGTTCACAGCCCTCATGATGGATTGCCCAGTCCCCAGAAGACAAAATGGTGAACCCCAAGAGAAAGAGACTATAGAAAGGGGGAAGGCAGCAAGTAGAGATTTCAAACGAAGCCAAAGAGTGCAAAGCACCTGAGACCAAGCAAGCTGGTAGACATGGAGGCCGGAAAGGAATTGCCAGATTTACCAGAATCCCCAGTGGGCTGCCCCGCCTGGCACAGACCAGGAGAGTGAAAACGATAGATGACACTGTCCAGATGATATCTGAGACCGCCGCAGACATGCAACACAGCAAACACCCATCTCCCGTTTGGAGCTGACAGCTACGGAGCAGCGAGGGCAAGTGAAAACCTTCCAGGATGACTTAGATCCAAACCCACTGCTTGGTGCATGTGTTTGGGAAGTCCAGCTTAAAGGCTGACTACAGATGTGAGAGCAGATGTTGGTGGGCAGTATGTAGGGAGGAGGCGGATGGGGCTCCTGGCCTTTCCCTTGTGGTGGACTGGTCTTGCCATCGCAGGCACCTGCAAAAACAGATGCTTTCTTCCTCCAGGGGACTGTTTTCAAAACAGACACGTATTTCCCTGCCATGTTTCACCCCGAGAACCGGCAATTCTGTGAATTCTGTTAACTCCTTTATCCCATGCAGGACGTTCTCTAGCTGGCTTCTCCTGCTGGTGGTGGTTGCAGTGGAGAAATGTGAATTCCCTGGGAGCACGCTGTGGAAGATGGGGGGCAGCAGAGGCAAAGCAATCTCTCCCTTCGACCTCCTGAAAGATTTACAAGAGGAAAGGCCTGCCGGGAGTCACACCAGAAGCCACAGCTTTTTGTCTCTGCAGCAGCTGCCTGGGTCAGGAAGGCCCAGCAACATCTGGCCCCACCGCGGCCTGGAAAGGAAGCCATACTGGTTGGCCCATCTCTCAGGGTAGCAGGCCACCTTCCTGGAATCCCCTTCTCCAAGAGCAGCCTCCTCTTCCGCATGTCCACTCTGCACGGCGCGGATACATGAGAAAGAGTGAGCCAAATACGGCCTCACATGAGGAATTTCTCACACCAGCTTGAGAGGGTCTTTGAAGATAGTGAGATGCAAACAGGATCCTTTGTAGGAATACTTTCTTGGTGGGGGGTGTCTGGCCTTTTGCACAGCGGAGGCCAGAGGTATCTGTAATGAGCTCTTTGCCTTAGGGCTGCTGGAAGGAGCAGAGCAAATTGGAAAGTACTGGGCTGGGAGGTGGGGAGTGGGGTAGGAAGACCAAGAAAACCGGATATACTTGTATCTTATTGTGAAATAGAAAAGGTTTAACATTCATATTTAACTTGAAGTCATCACATTGAAAGAAAAGAAAGTTGAAAGGAACTTTGGGGGAGAAAAAAATTGGGTGACAGTGCTAAAACCAAAATCTAAGACAACATGTTTTCTCAATTTAAAAATAAAAAATTCCAATGTGTACTGGGGCGTGGAAGGGATGTTGAATAAATCAAGTGAAATTTTAATTTTAAAAGCAATCAACATTTCAAGAGCTCCTTCATGTCTGAGGTCCCAGCACCAGCCTGACTGCGCTCATTAATGAACAGAAGCAGCCTCGTGCCCAGAGGAAAACCGAGATTTTCCTTCCATTTGGCGGGGGAAAGACCCCTTTCTTCTTCTTTTACAAACCCCAGCCCCGACTGTTTCTAGTGGTAAACACAGGAACACCCATGCTGTGCAACGCTTCCAAGAAACACCAGGATGACAAGAGGCAAAATGTCACATCACACTGGGTGGTGGATCCTCAAGTTCCACGTCCAAGACGCTGGTGAGGGAAACGGCTGATGAAGTCAGAACGTGCGCTGCAGACACTGCCTTCTGACGGGTACTTGGGGAAGCTGCACAAACTCTTTCTGGCCACCGGAGATGGCATTTTTAAACAGTCCCCTGGAGGAAGGAAAGCATCTTCCAGAAGTATTTTACGTGCTTTCGGAAGGTCCTAACCTAGGCCCTGACAACCTGCTTCCTACAACTGCATGCAACCCATCTTGGAGCGCTATTAGGAACCAGATCAAATGCTCCTCATTTAGTCCCAGCCAGACTGCCGAGCAGCAGCCATCCTGCTGCACAGAGGAGTAACTACAGAGGAAATGGATGAAGCTTGTCCAACGTCACAGAGTCGTAACAAGGGAAGCAGGTTCTCGGACTGGAAAGCCCACAGCGCCTCTTCAACTTCCTGCTGCTGCATTCTTCCATGATTTAAACAGCTGAGCGAAACCCAGACCTTGCAGCTCGGGCTTTAGAGCGAGATGCATCTGCGTTGGAATTGAACAGTCACTCACTCTCTGAGGCACCACACCCGTGCCCCCTCCATCAGGTCCTGATGCGTGGACTTCCGTGCCACTTCCTAACAAAGCACCGCACGGAGGGAACACCGACTCTGAAGAGCCAGGGAATGAACGTGCAAGCAGAGGGAGCTGCTTCCTCTCGCGTGACCCTTTGAACCTCCCCGTGAGGGCAGGATGGGGTTGGCCCCATTACCTCCTGCGGCGAACACATGGCCCCAGACAGGCTTTCTGCTGGTGCCACCATGAAAGAGATGATCTTGGAACTACTGGTTGCCTTTCTTTCCACCACAGAGAGAGAGCCTCTCTGAGAATGCTGCCAACACAGAAGAGACAGAGAGATTCTTTTGAGCCCCTCGAGGCAGCCATACCCGAGACTAACCCTGAAAGTCCGAGTTAAATGAACCAATCAACTCTGGCGCATGGGGCAGCCAAGGGCACTACCAAATACAAGTCCATCTTATACAAATGTATGAAGCTTGTTTCTATCCCACAACCTCCCAGGCTTAATGCAACTGGGAGAAAACCTGGGATCTTTCTGTGAGTGAAAAAGGAGCTGGAGAAATCTTACCAAACAGAAGGATGCTTCTCTGGACAAACAGACACCTGGATGCCTGCCGGCTGCAGACTCCACCTTTGGGAATAAGCGTTCCCCTCTGTGGCCCTACATCGTCGGTGACAATGAGAAGCACCTGCAGGCCTTTGTATTTGCCGTGCAGAAGCGGAGCAGATATGAAACCATCGCACATCCTTGCTCTCACTGAGGCCCGAGGGCCAACAGAGAAAGAGACTCCACCCTCACCTACCTGAGGCGCTGGAGGCCCGGGACACGTCCTGGGCCTGGGTGGAGCGGTTGCGACTCTGCTGGCGACGCCGACCGCTGGCTGACCTCGTGGTGCGCACGTGGACCTCGCTCACTTTGAAGAAGGCCACCATGAAGGGCTGCTTGTCATACGGGCCGTCTCTGCCCACCAGGCCCGCAGCTCGGGGGTTGATGCTGAGTCCTTGAATGCAAACCAAAGCACGCCCCTCTTTATTCCATGTAAACTTACTCCTGCAGCTGCATGATGGGTCCTTCCTGGCCTCCCGGGACTGATCATAAAGCATGCGAGTGAGGGGAAAGCATGGTACTCTCGGATCTCTGGTGGCACCCTCTGGATGGACAACATCAAAACCCTCCTTCCAGCCCTAGCTGGTGTTGCTCAGTGGTTAGAGCATCAGCCCTCACACCAAAGGGTTGTGGGTTTAATTCCTGGTTAAGGGCACAAACCTGGGCTACAGCTTCAATCCCTAGCCCAGGTCAGGGTGTGTGTAGGAGGCAACCGACCGATCTGTCTCTCTCACATCTCTCTCTCATTTCTGCTAGTCCTTTTCCTTCATATTCATTGTTTCTTTTTGATCATATTCATCCCAGCCAGTGAGGTGACTTCAACCCACCGAGCATGTCCACTCTGAAGGCCATTAGGGGCCCTGGGTCTGCTGAATTCAGATGCTGCAGGAGAAGGGGTGCTGGGAGGGGTAGACTAAGGTCAGGATTTATCCTATGCTCCCATCTTTCTTCTTCTCAACGTCATCCACCTGCCTTGCCTCTGCATGTTTGCCTCCCATTTTCTCTCGGAACCTGGACCACCTAACCATCTCCGAGTCCTTCCAGGGGAAGGTTTTGCTTTTCAACAGCAGTTACGAGGAAACAGTAAAGGAAGTCACTGTGAGCTGAGGACTGGGCTGAGAACCACGGCTCTCTCATGACTGTTGAAGAGGAAATGAGTGACAGCGACTGCTGGGCCTGATCTTGGCAGACTTACCATCCCGAGTCACCACGCTCAGCTGAAGCCCCATGTTGTGCTGTGGGGTCACGACCCACAGATTGCTGGTGGCCGTGATGTCAAACTCCAGCCAGCCTTCTTCTGAGGCCCACACCACGCGGGTGTCCAGCAAGAAGAGGTCGGAGTCTCTGAAGGAAAGAAGAGGTGGTGCAGTGAACAGCAGGCTGTCTCTCATCAACATTTCTAGCTCTCTATCTCTCTTCCTTCCTCTCTGTAAAAAAATCAATAAAATATATTTTTTTTAAAAAGAAAAGAAAATACTAAATTTGGGATCAATATGAGCTTTCACAAAGTTGTGTTTTGCACATTTTCTCTTTAACATTAACATGAGACAATCTTCATGTTGAAATAAGGAGAAACAAGAAGCCACTTCATATTCCTGAGTAATCGCCGGTTCTTTTCTTTTAATTAAAGTATCTGAATGGCCTATGGTGAGTGTCAGGTCCTCTCACCTGGACTGTGTGTTGAGTGATTTTAAAGTTTACCCCAGAGCAGCTGTGGGCCAGACTGGGGTTCTCTGAGGCAAACTTGTCAAGTCCATTCCTTCCATTGGGCTCCACGGGGAATATTTTTATATTTTTTAATATAAAAAATATAAAAACCTAGGGGTTGTGGGAAGATGGAGTGGGGGCTTCTCCCTGTCGCCCACATGTGCTGGGGAGCAGTGCCAGGGCACGGCCCCTTCCTGCGTGCAAGGCACTGAGCCTGAGCCTGGAGGCCCGTGATGGGAAGAGGCGTGTTTCGGTCATGGAAAGATATAAATTCCCTGGTGCTGGCGATACTTTCCAAAATACCTTAGAGGATAGAAAATTACTGGAATTAAGTACTATAAATTTAAGATTATCATGTCAATACTAATGAAGTACATTTAAATCAGTGATAAAGCATTTCCATATACTTTACTTTCCTCAGTCGTTAGGACAATCCCAAAAGTGCTGGAGAATATTGCTATCCCATTTTACAGCTGGGGAAACTGAGCCTCAGATATGAGGTGAGGGTCATGTGGCCAAGATCAAAAACTGGTAAGCGAAAGAACTAGCCAATGACAAGAACGTGGGCTCAGTTTCCCATCATGACATCCTGCCTTCTGAGGTTATGCAAGACAACCTGGGACAAGTGAACACAATCTATCGCTATTCTTTCGAATATTTGTGAGACCCGTGAAACATCTGAGTTAACAGTTTTACATTTCTCAGAGGGGAAACAATTTTTCCTGTTTACATAGCTTAGAGTTAGAAGAAAACTCTTCTGTCATCCTCTCCAAGCTTAAAAGAGTAGGTAGAGCTAAAAGCAGTTTACTCAGCTGCTGAACGGAGTCTGCAGGGGGCACAGTCAGGCCTGCCATCTTTAAAGCGCTCTCCTACCCCCATGTGTCTCACCCCCTGTTGACAAATCACCCACCCCCCCTTCCCTGTTGCTGAGGTAACAGTGAGCAGGGAGATGGCGTGTCCATGGAAAACAGCAAGAAGGGATAGCAAGTCCAAAGCTTTGAAGTTCAGATGCAAGAAGACATAAATCCTGCTCTGGAAGGTCTGCGACCTTGTCCAGCAATAACAGCCCTATGGACAGTCTGTGGGAGGGGCAGCCTGGGCCAGAGGAAGCACCCCCGAACAAAGATGCTGTGGGAATTTCGGGCGTGAGGCTTCCCCCAAGGCAAAGAGGATCAGCGCATGGGCTATTGCCACAGATCGCTTGTTGCTATTGACAGAGCTTCAATGATACACACCGTGTTTAAGGTCTTGTAACAAAGACGGAGAAATATACAAGAGAAAGTGGGGGGGGGGGGGGAATAGAAGGCCAGCTTCCAAAAACAGGTGAGAGAAAGCAGAGAAAAGCACAAAGAGAAGGGCATGGATTAAAGAGGGCGAACATGAGTCAAAAGCTAAACGTGGGAAGAGTGCTGCTAAGAAGGGTAACAATCACGATGTGTAAGCAATGAAAAGGCAGGATGAATGGGGGAGAGTGGGCGTGGAGAGCCCCAGTGTCTATGTTGTCTCTGCTCCTAAGCTCAGGGTCCAGAATTCCTGTTTGTGCCACTCCCCTGGCCGCACAGTAAGGACAATGCCAACCTCACTGCGTAAGAACCCCATGGGTGCAGGGGTTCATGAACCGGGTCCCGCACTGCGGGCGGGAAGAAAACCCTGCTCACCAGCAGTCAGACAGTTTCAGATTTAGAGGATGAAATCCTGGGCACTGAGGTCCTGGGAAGGGAGTGAGGTAGAGCCTGGGCTTAAGATAACTGGACTAAGTGGAGAGAGAAACAATAGATATTTACTGTGCTTTCTATGCACACGTCTGTGCCAAGAGCCTCTCTGTTCCCGGGAAGCCTGGAGAGGCGAGTCCCGTGGCTGACGGCTCAGAGCCTAGAGAGGGTAAGTGTATCCAAGTCACAGGTGTTAAGTGGGTTGGCCAAAACCGAAAGTCAGAGCCTGGACTCTTAGCCACCACATTTCTCAAAAGCAGCCAAGAAAAGTCCAAGGCACAGGTTGAAATGACTGAGCAAAGGCTCAGAGTAAGGTAAGGGATCACAATCTACTGCACGTAAATGCCAAAGTCGGGTGGATACAGAAAACACATGATGTACTCAGGGCTGGCACAGGATCTGAAATCATGAGCAGGCTCTCCTATCAGGGTACAGAGAGGAAGGGTGGGGGGATCCCTCTCACACACTCTATCCCTGCTCCTAGGCAGGACTGAGCCCACCACTGACACACAGTCACACAGCCAGGGTGAGGAACTCTCAGAATCACAGCTCTCAGAAACAACTGTGCTGGCTCACCCTCAATGCTTCCAATAGCTCAGGTATTTAAGAGACACAATTAATGGCAAGCCAATGAAACGGTTCTGGTCTGACCCACACCTATTTACTTTTCTTCAGTGATACATGGCTTTCTTAGTCTACCACTTCTGTAAAAGTGTAGCCTCGAGCAAGATGCCCCTGATTGCCTGTGTGAAAGACAAGGATGCCCTTTCGCTGCAGCAGGGTTGAGGTCTGTCATTCCCATGTAAAATATGAGTTGCCTCCCAACAGAGCCCTAGGAAATGCTGAAACAAGACAGAGATACAATTTTGAATGAATTTATTGCCTATTTTGTTCTCAAGCAACTCATAGACCCATGTTCATGATGAATATGCATTCTATATTCAAGGATACAGCATTATTATTCTCAATGTGATCCCAACTTAAGGACATGAGTTTCCTCCTATTGTGATCCTCCTGGACAAATGAAACTCTCAACAATTAATAAGCCTAACAAGAGAATTCTAGAAATTTAAAAATTCATCCCAGTGCTAGAGGTGCCTGACCAGCAAGCCACTCTTAAGACTTTCAGAATTAGTGTTTGTGGACAAGGTCAACTATGTGTGGTCCATCCTATTGCACAGTCTCCAGGATACCTGTCCTTGTCAGTGATATTCCTTCAGGCCAAAGAGCATACAGCACTAGGGGCAAACACAGTGGGTTTCTCTCCTTTGCCCTTGAAGAAGGTCAGGAGGCATTTCAGTTCCTGATTTTGACCTTTCCTGACGAATGTTATCCATCAAAGTCACACTGCCCTGAATAAAGCACAACTGTGCTTATTACTAATCATTTCAGTAGGAAAATGTTCTTCATAAATGGAATTTATAGGTTTGAAACAAGCAGATTTTTGAAATATTTGATAAGGTGAGTATGTGGTTTGTTCCTTTACTTCTTCATAGTCCTTTGCCATATATGCGTCTGGACTTAATGGTAAATTAAGATATAAAACAACATTCATACATTGGTGAATCAACTTTATGCAATAATGAAAATTCCATTTTTGAATTGGATGAAAGTCAAAGGAGTCAATCATTTTAGAAAATTAGATAGTAAAACAAAGATTTGTATTTTTTTCATATATCATATGCATAGGATTATGTTTAAAATTTTTACCACTAAAAGGACAGAAAAGAAGTAGGATTTGAAAAGATAACACTACAAATCAGGATAAACTATTACTACTACTACTACTACACACACACAGATTTGAGTAACATAGTGAATAGACATTATCTATAATAATCTATAATAAAAGCATAATATGCTAATTAGACCGGACAGCTGAATGACCTTTTGGATGTCCTTCTGGATGAAGCCGGGGCTGTGATGAATTTCATGCATTGGGCTTCGAGTTACTATATAATTAGATAAGTTCTCATTGATTTTATGCCACTTGATATTACCCAAATTTCATTTCAAGTGCTAGCATGGCATGGAAAGAAGGTTCAAATACCAAAGGGACATTTTATCTTCAACAAAGCAAAAAGAAAAAAAAAATCACTTGCTGTCAGAATATTAACATAGCAAGCCCTTACATGGTGTTTACTACTTTACTGTACTAAGTGCTCTCACATATGGTAACTCCTCACAACCACCATAAGAGGTAAATCATATTAACAGCATCACAGGTTGGCAGATAAGGAAACTGAGGAACAGAGTGGTTAAGTAGTTCACTCATGGTCACACAACCAGTAAGTACAGAGCTGGGATTTGAAACCAATCAATTTCGCTGTAATGTTACATATGTTCTTAGCTGTCATAGCAGCCATTCCCCAGTTTAGCCCTCATTGGAACCCCCTAGAAGCTTGTCAACACAGAGACTGCTAGACCCACCCCAGAGTTCCTGGGGTGGGGGACTTGAGAATTTGCATTTCTAACAGGTTCCCAGGTGATGCTGATACTGCTAGTTTGAGGACCACATTTTGCAAGCCTCTGACCTACAGTACACCCCTTCTCTCTTATATTTGCGTAGTATTATTTTTACGTGCTTTTTAGACTTAAGGTTCAAAGCTATCTGCTCTTGAGATTCTTTTCTCCTCTCCTTCAACAGTGCAAAGCAAATGTGGACTGCTCTTCAAGTAACTATCTGACTGTCATATGGACTGACCTTATACTCAGGGAGTTATCAACATAGACTAATTAATCATTGGAATCACAGGTAAAACCTAGTTCAAAGCAGCAGTATCATAATAAGGCTTGAGTCTATGTATCTAAGACAGGAAGAGAGCAGAAGGTAGAAGATTATTTTATACTAGGGTCCAGTGCACAAATTCACGCACCTTGAAAGGAACTGTGGGCAGTGAGGCTGTGGTGGGCACAGGGGAGGGT